AGACTCGTGTCCACGTGTCACATCCTGAGCTCCTGGGGGCTGGGACTTCCCTGTATGAATTCCGGGGAGGACACGAGCTGGCCCCGAGTAGGTCCGGGAGCCAGGGACACGGGCACACTGTCTAGCGGCCAGTGCCTTGTCCCAGACCCTGTCTGCAGCTGTTTACCAGGGACTGTTCGGGGGCACCTGGGCGGGTGGGGCCCACCTGGCAGGACCGTCTCCATGGGGACGTTCACAGAGGCGTCCTCTGCAGCCGAGCTCGGCCTGGGGTGCAGGGGGAACTGGGGAGCTAGACACAATAAAGAGGCCAGCAGGAGTGAGGGGAGCAAGCTGGCCCCACAGGTCCCGCGCTGCCGTGAGGGACACTGCTGTGGGCTCCTTGGCCTCTGAAGGGTTGTTACTTTGGGTTGTGTTACCCCGAAGTACAGGAAACAGGGTCTGCGCCTCCAGAACAGAACCCCAGCAGGCGCCGGCTGCAGGGGAACCACGGGGAGGGCCAGGCCCGGCTTCTGCAGGACGTGGGGTGTGCTGGCTGGGCCCCCCTGAGCCACCACCTGCCCCTCCCACTCGACCTCAGTGTGCAGGGATGGGACGGTCACCCGCGCCAACTCCGAGGGCAGGAAGTGTTTTTGTCACCGAGGCGGGGCTCTCTAGGGAAAGGTGAAGGGGGGGGCAGGAAGGTGGGGGGGTTGCCAGCACCCCTGCAGCAGACGTGGGCTTGGGGCGCCCCCACCCAGAGGCCGAGGGTCAGGTCAGTGTCTGGCCCGGCTTCTGGCAGGTGGGAGGCAGGTGTTGCGCACGTTGCCGCACCGCAGCCCCAGGATTCCCGGCGTCCCGGTCCGTCTCCAGCATCCTGACTACTCCCCCAGACTGATCCAGGGGCTTCGGGCCTCCCTGGGTGTTGGGGGTGACCCGGCCCTGGTGCAGCAGCTGGGGGCCACTGCCCGGTCCTCCGCCCCCCAGCCTCTCCCGCACATGTGCCTGCGGTGTCCTGGCCCTGGGAGCCGGGGCCGCCCCGTTGCAGACGGACCCGGTTGGCCGGGCCATCCTCCCCCCCCCCCCCCCCCCCCCCCCCCCCCCCCCCCCGGCAGCGCGGGGTCGGGCCGGGTCTGGCTTGCCTGGAACAGGCAGTGGAGACCTGGGGAGCGTGGGTCCAGGAGCCCCTGAAGCTCCGCACGCACAGGGATGGAGACGAGGCAGGCAGCCCACGACCCAGGCCTGACCAAGGCCCCACAGCAGCCCCCCCCCCCCCCCCCCCCCCCCCGCCACCTTTCCAGATGCTTCCGGCAGCTGTGCCGCGAGGGGGCGGGGACAGGGTGCGCGGACTGCAGCTGGGGCTGGCCCCCCATGATTTCTGCTTTTCTCCTGGCTACAACCTGCAGGTTCTCAGTCTGGGGGCCGGGGTGGTGCGGAAGCCCCCGAGTGGGCCCACAGTTCTGCGTTGTTCAGCGCGGGGCAGCGTTTCCACAGGAGCGCTTCCCGTCACACGGCCCAGGCCTGGCCCACGTGGTGTCAGGAGCCTTGCGCTGGGTCCGGCTGAAAGGGACAGTGCGGGGGGCCTGGCTCCCCTCCCTCCCTGGGACGGGCGGCAGAGGGCAGGCTGCGGAGGGGGCACCGCGCTGCCTTCCGCCCCGGGAACCGGGAAGGCTGCTGGTCACGTGGGCCGAGAGCCAGGAGGGCCTCCAGGAGCTGCTGGGACGGGGCAGGGCGCTTGGCAGCAGCCCAGGGTGGGCAAAGGCCCTGGGGCAGCGGGGGACTGGCTTCTAGGGCACGGAGACGTGCCTCGGGGTGGACAGAAGGCGAGAGGGGGTGCTGGCCTGAACTTCAGCTGGGGGGCGGCTGGAACCTAACTGCGTTCCGAGAACTGTTTGAGAAGCACCGGGGAAGCGCTCGTCCCAGGGGAGTTCAGGGGAGGGCCCCCGCCCAGTGCTGGCTTCTACTGCGTGCACGTGCACTCGGGGTGCAAGGCGGGGCTGGCCTCACCTGCTGACCTGACCCCGGCTCCCCGGCAGACTGCGGCCTGGCACCGGTGGCAGCGATGACCAGGATCGTGGGTGGCAGCGCCGCCGGCCGAGGGGAGTGGCCGTGGCAGGTGAGCCTGTGGCTGTGGCGCCGGGAGCACCGCTGCGGGGCCGTCCTGGTGGCCGAGAAGTGGCTGCTGTCGGCGGCGCACTGCTTCGACGTGTGAGTGTGGCCCGTGTGCTTCACTGGACCCACTTTGTGGGGGAAAACTCCGCGCCCCCCAATGCCTGGCCCTGGAGGTGCCCCCCCAGCCCCCGTGCCCGCCGCCCCAGGCCGTCCCCTCCACAGCCCTTGTCCGCTCACCCAACCCGCCTGACTGCGTGGCCCCGCAGCTCCCACCTAAACCCGACACCAGGGACTGTGTGGGGAGTGGGGAGTGGGTGCGGTTGGGGGCGGGGGGCGAGGTCCTCCAGGGAACGTCGGCCCTGGCTCACCCCGCTGGGACTTGGCACCAGACCCAAAGGCCCCTGGCCTGCGGGCCTTCGTCCTGGCAGCCGCTCGGGGGCGCCCCAGGCCAGGGGCCTGTCCTCCAGGGGGACGCCCAGCTGGGGGCGCACCGTGGGCCTCCCGAGGTCGGGTGGGGGGGCGGCAAGCGGGTCCCGCGGGTGTCACGTCAGGGCGCGGGTAGCGGCGGGACCCCGCGCCCCGAAAAGGCAGCCCGCGGCGGCGCCAGCAGGGCCGGGGTCTCGCCGACGCCTGTGCCGCGCCCGCAGCTACGGGGACCCCAAGCAGTGGGCGGCCCTCCTGGGCACCCCGTTCCTGGGCGGCGCCGACGGGCAGCTGGAGCGCGTGGCGCGCATCTACAAACACCCCTTCTACAACCCCTACACGCTCGACTACGACGTGGCGCTGCTCGAGCTGGCGGGGCCCGTGCGCCGCGGCCGCCTGGTGCGGCCCATCTGCCTGCCCGAGCCCGCGCCGCGGCCGCCCGACGGCGCGCGCTGCGTCATCACCGGCTGGGGCTCGGTGCGCGAGGGAGGTAGGCGCGCCCGGCCCCCCGCGGCCCCCCGCGGCCCTCCGCGGCCCCCCGCGGCCCTCCGCGCCCGTGACCCCGCCCCCCGCCCGTGACCCCCGTGACCCCGTCCCGCCCGCAGGCTCCATGGCGCGGCAGCTGCAGCAGGCGGCCGTGCGCGTCCTCAGCGAGCAGACGTGCCGCCGCTTCTACCCGGTGCAGATCAGCAGCCGCATGCTGTGCGCCGGCTTCCCGCAGGGCGGCGTGGACAGCTGCTCGGTGAGCGCACTGCCCCCGCGCGCCCGCGACCGACCGCCCTACCGGAGCCGCCTCCCGGGGCCGGCCGGCGGCGGCCTGCGCTCAGGCCTCGCCTCTCGCCCAGGGTGACGCCGGGGGACCGCTGGCCTGCAGGGAGCCGTCGGGCCGCTGGGTGCTGACGGGGGTCACCAGCTGGGGCTACGGCTGCGGACGGCCGCACTTCCCGGGCGTCTACACGCGGGTGGCCGCCGTGCGGGGCTGGATCGGGCAGCACGTGCAGGAGTGACCGCCGCGGCCGCCGCCCGGGGCCAGGAGGAGGCGGCGGGACCGGCCGCGCGGGGGGAGGGGGCTGCGGGCGGCGTCCCCGCCAACCTTGTTGCAATAAACGGCCGTGCCCGTGCCCGTGCCCGTGCCCCTGCCTCTGGCTCCGCACCTCCGCGCCGCAGCAGGGGCCCCTGCCCCGTCCCCCTCCCCCGAGGGGCTGCCGGGGGGGGGGGGGGGGGGGGGGGCGGGGGGCGGGGACGCGCGCGACCACCACCCGCAGAGAGCCCCGCAGGAACAGCGCCCGGCTTCTCTCCGCCCCTTTTATTCGTCCGTCCACCGTCAGAGGTCACAGCTCGGGGAGAAGGGGGCGACCGCACCCCCAGGTCCAAATGCGCATTCTCCGCCCGAGGCCGAGGTGGGCCTGGCCACAGCAGGGGCCGTGCCGCCGCTCCAAGTCCCGGGCCCGCGGGCCCCCGGACCCCCGCCGCGCTCGCCGGCAGGTCTCACAAGCACGCGCAGGCAGGACGCACGAGCGGACCGCGCCTCGCAAAGGGCTTTTATGGAAACAGAGTGAGGGAAGGGGGCCGGGCGCGGCGCCCCGGGGTCACATGTTGGCTCGTTCCCGCTGCAGCCGCGAGTTGTAGGCGCGCGACACGGTGTTCCAGGCGTCCATGTAGCGGTCCATGCACATGGCGATGCACTTCTGCAGGCGGGGAGGGCGCGCCTCAGCTCCCGCCCCGCCCGCGCCCCGCCCGCGCCCCCTCCCCGAGCAGCGGGCTGCGCACGCGCACTGGTCCCGCCGCGACCGCCCCCCGCCCCCCGGCCCGCGCACACGCACGCGCAGCTGCTCCCCGCCGCCCCGCCGGTCTCACCTGCTCCGAGTTGTCCAGGGAGCCCCCCGGCTTCCCGATGCACTTCCGGAAGCACTTGTCCGTCATCCTCTGTGGGGACACGCGAGCTCAGCCGCGACACCCACCCCCGTGGACCCCACCGCCCACGGCGCCCGCCCCGGCCTGGCCCCGGACCTGCAGCAGCTCCTGTGCGTTAGCCACGGCGATCTGCACCTTCACTTGCTCCATGATGAGCCCCGGGTCCAGCTTGCCGCCGCCGGAGCTCCCGAAGTCCGACCCGAAGCCACCCTCCATGGCTCCGCAAAGTCAACCGAACCGACACCGCGTGCGCCGATCCGTACCCACGCCGGAAGTCGGCCGCCCGGGGCATCACGGGAAATGGAGTCTGGGAGTGCTAGGAGCGGAGCCGGGTTGGACTACAACTCCCACAAGGCCGTGCGGCCTCCCCGAGCGACCCGGCGGCGGCGGCGGCGGCGGCGGCGGCGGGTGGGAGGCTCGAGGGCCGCCCAGGACGTCCTCGGGTCGCACTGCGGGTGCCGCCGCGCATGCGCGCGGCGCGTCACGTGACCGACGGCGCGAGCGGGCCCGAGGTCTCCGACCCTCCCCTCCCGCCGGGCGGGGCCGCCGCGTCACAGCGGACTCGGGGGCAGCACTTAAAACCAAAACGTTTATTGGAGCGTCGTACAAAAGGTTTCCAGTCATAAAATGCATGTTACAAATCATCCGAGAAAGAAAAGACCACACGTTTGGCATGCAAGGCCCCGGGCGCGGCCCGGCAGGTTGAGCCGGTGTCCGGTGCTCCGGCGGGGGGGGGCGGGGGCGGCGGCGGGGGAGCCCTTAAAGCTAAGGACGTCGGACTCCGAGCTGCTGCCCAGCCCCCCCCCCCCCCCCCCGCCCCGGGACGCCTGCAGCACGGCGGCCACCTGCCCGGTGCACCGCGCCCCCCGGGCCTGCCGCGGCCTAGCGTGGTCGCTCCCGTCCTGCGGAGGCCGGGGCACGCCGAGGCCGGGGCTGCGGGCCCAGCTGCCCCGCCGAGGCCCATCCTCCGCGCCCAGGTCCGCTGCGGGCGCCCCGGGGTCGGGCCGGGCCGGGCCGGGCCGGGGTGCGCACAGCCGGCCGCCGTCCCGGGGCCCGTCAGCATCGGGGGCAGCGGGGACACGTTTCCGTCCTTGAGAAGCGAGCCCCGGCCCGCGGACACCACCCTACAGGGGCCTCGGCCCGTCCCAGGGAGGCGGGCGTGGCTCAGTGTTTCGTCTGCAAGACTCGAGCTGCCCTTTCGGAAGGACCCACCCGGGCAGCGCCCCTCCCCCGGGGCGGTCCCAGCGGGGCCCGGGCCGCGGTCTGGGCACTGACCAATGTAGAAAAATAAATATCCATTAAAAAAATAACTTCTGTGTGTCTATGTGGAGGGTGTAAACGGTGAGCGGACGCGGCGGCGGGGTGGGCAGGCCCGGGGCCACCGGGGGCACCGCCACGGCAACGTCCCTTCAGGGGGAGGCTGCGACAGGAGCGGGGCGGGGGTCGGAGCTCAGCCCCAGCACAGGGCAGAGGCCCACACGGGGCGGCGGCCACGGGCGCCTCCCCTGCCGTCGCTGTCGCTCCCCTCACCAGGGCGGACCGGCTCCCAGCCCCGGCAGTGGCGCCGAAACCCAGGGCACCTGCTCCCAAGGTGATCCCACTTCCCCTGCCACCTGTGCCCTTGCCCTTTACCTGGTGACAAGCCTCAAAACAGAGCTGTCCCCGTTCCCATCGCTCCCACCCCGCTGGTCCTGCAAGCTGAAGAACTCAACTACAGAAAGTTCCAGAAACCCAAGGGCCAGCCAGCCAGGAAGGGAAAGGGGCGCACTGCAGGGCGCCCCAGTACGGGTGCCGAGCCCCGGCCAGCGGTCCGCGCACCACCCAACCAGGAGTCACCCCGGAGCCCAGGCCGGGCATCCATGACCTGCACCCCAAGGCCCCGTGCCTGCGGCCGGGCCACCAGAGTTCCACAGCCGATGGGCCTGCCTCCACCAGCTCAGAACCTGGACTCTGGATTTGGTTTTGAACGAGCTTGACAAACAATTCAACTGCTACCAAGTCCTGCCCTCCGTGCACTCAAGGGCCCCAGGGCAGCTCCCGGAGAGGGGGCCCCGCGCGTCTGTGGTGGAGGCAGTGGGGACCCGGAGGAGCCCCGAGCCCGGCCGGGCCCTCCAGCCTGCACGCCCAACCCCCACGAGCCGTCAGGTTCCTTGGCCTTGAATTCAACCAAATAGTGAAATGGGGCACCAAAAAAAACGTCTGGCCAGTGGCGAGGAAGGGAGGGTCCGAGGAAGGCCGAGGAAAGATGCCAAGCCGCCCCGTGTTCCGGCAGAATGCCTACAAATTCTCTAGAAACGTATCAAGGACTAAAGACAGCCAATGATAGAAAAATAGTTTTCAGTGGCTCTGAGTGAAGAAAGACGGGCAATGAGGCGAGTTCCGTTCACATCACGCGGCAGCCTCGCGAGGTGGTCCTGGGGTCCCCCTGGAAAGAAAGGCCGGCAGCCTGAGAGGCCGATGCGTGCCCACCTGGCCAGGCAGGTAGCTGGCGGCCCGCCACCCCTGCCGGGGAGAGGCCGGACCATGGCCTGCCCACCCCAGGACAGCAGCTCCCGGCAAGCTGACGGCCAGCAGCTTCAGCCTCACCTACCCCTGTTCTAGAACCTTCCACATCCCCTTGCTTCTGCTGGGAGCTACACAGCACGTTACAACTTAAAGGTCAGACACCAGCCTTACCTTGTAGAGCTGCTGCAGCTCGGCCCCAGGACCTCAGGAGTCCTTCCCCAAAAAACCGTTTCTTAAGCCCCGGTCTCTCGGGCTGGGGGACCAGCGGCGTCAGGGCCCGTTCATGGAGGACCCTAAGGGCTACGCTGCTGCCTGGAGGTGCTCCTGGGGACCTCGGGCCAGAACCCGAGGTCCAGACAGCGGGCAAGAGCCCGGATGCAAGGCACTGCCCCCACAGCCCACCCCAGCGGCGAGCTGCAGGGCGTCCAGGCCCAGACCCAGCCAGGTGTGCGTGTGCACCTGCCCGCGTGAGGATGCGTGTTCCAGCGCACATCCACGGCTGCCACCTTGGGGCCTTTACCTGCTGATGGAAAAGATCCTCCTCGCCAAACTCCGCTGTCTCCTCTTCTCCTTCCTCCCCGTTCTCCGTCTCCCGCACCACCGAGGACTGCTTCACCGTTCTCATGGCCACTTCCTGTGCAAGATTTGAGCCACAAATGCTTGACCCCTGGGGGGTGAGCACCAGCCCGTCGTGCCGGCGCTCAGGTCAGGATGCTCCGGCCAAGCTCCGGACGCTGCAGAGCCACGCACCAGACCCAGGGCTGCACTCACGGGCCCCACGAGCCAAACTCCGCCCCCGGGTGCCTGTGCACCCAGTGGTGCAGTAAGGGTTGGACGTTGGGGGGGGCCCTCTGGGAGGGACCCTGGCAGGCCTCGGCACCCACCTCCCCATCAGCATTGACCAGGACGGTCCGGAAGCTCTCGCCAGTGCCCCAGCTGTTCTGGGTCTTCCACACGAGCGTCGAGGGGGGGCTGTGGGCCACTCCCGCGCCAGCTGCCCACACCTGGGGACACAGGGGGGCCTCCCCATCAATGCTGGCTCGGTCCCCAGTACCACGTTCCAGCAGCCAGCTCCCTATCGCCGCCCCCGGGTCCAGCCGAGGGACGACATGTCAGGGGACCAACAACCCCCAGATCCACAGTGGCCACGGGCTCTCCCATCAGCAGACGCAGGCCGAGCTGTGCCCCGCGGCCCCAGGGCTCCACTCCTGTGAGTCTTCTATCCCTGTGCAGGGCCCGCCAGCCCACACAGCCTGGCCCCCGTACCATGAATGCTGACACGTCCCAGGGCGCTGCAAAGGGCTCCAGTGGCACAACGTTGGCACAGGTGACCCATGACAAGAGGCGGATGTTCCCAGAGCCAAATCACTCCATGCCTGCCCCCGGCCCAGCCCCATGCCAGTTACCCTTCCCAGTAGTCGCCTGGGCAGTGAAGACTGCCGCCTCCCCCTCCACGAGTGGCCCCCACTGTCCCCACCGTCCCAGCAGCCCGCCCTTCCACGGCCACCTACCGTGACAGTCTGGCCGGCGCGAAGCACGTACTTGGGCGTGAACTTGTAGGCGATCTCCTCCCCTTCCAGGACCTGCCTCTTGATCCTCCAGTTGCCCAGAGACTGGTCCTGGCACAGAGGACACCCGGCCTCACACACAGCTCGGGGAGGAGCCCCCGCCCGAGCCCGCGGGGACGGAGGCCGCTCACCTTGTCCGAGCTGTTCTTCAGCTGCACGAACCTGCCCTCCAGGTCGATCTCCTCGATGCTGACGCCGCCCGAGGCCGAGGCCTGCTGCGCCAGGTGGAAGCTGGTGGTGCTGCTGCTGCTGCTGCTGCCGGAGCCGATGCCACTCGAGCCGGGGCCCGGCGACTCCTCCGCCTCCAGCCGCTTCCGCTTGCTGCGGCCGGAGCGGCCGGCCGTGGACACGCTGCTGCTGCTGGACGTGGCCCGCGAGACAGTGATCCGCGACGACGGGCTGGGGGTCAGCTTCAGCCTGCGGGACAGAGGGGGAGGGGAGACCAGAGCTCCTGAGGGGCGGAACCCCAGGGCCCCCCTTCCCCGCCCCTGCCCCCCACGCCCCCAGCCCCACCTCTCCTCTTCGCCCTCCAGCAGCTTGCGGTAGGCGCTGATCTCCATGTCTAGGGCCAGCTTGACGTCGAGCAGCTCCTGGTACTCAGCCAGCTGCTGCTGCATCACGTCCCGCATCTCTGTCATCTCCTGCTCCTTGGCGTCCAGCATCTTGCGGAACTTGTCCCGCTCCCCGGCCATGGTCTCCTCCAGCTCGCGAATCCGGTCCTCTGCTGCGCTGGCCTGGCAGGTGGTGGGGGTCCCGGAGCCGGGTCAGGCCGGCCTCTGAGGCTCATGCAGAGACGCCCACCCGGCTGTGGCCTCTTCCGCCCTCCTGCCTGAGCCGGCGGGCGCCCACAGCAGGAAAGGGGCCCTGGGGTGGGCGGGGGACAGAAGGACCCCCGAGCATGAGGTTCGTGGCTCGTCTACAGCCAAGTCGCCTGAAGGAGGGTCCCACTGCAGGGGCGGGCCCGGGACCACGGCCCTCAGGAGTCACCTGCTTCTGGAGGCCGGAGAGCTGGTAGCTGAGGGACTCCAGCCGCATGCGGGCTTCCTTCAGCTCCTCCCGGGCAGCGCTGGCGGCCTTGTCGTTCTGGTCAGAGCTCAGCTTGGCGCTGTCCAGCTAGAGGGACACGGGCAGGCCGGTGAGGGGCTGGCGGAGGCCAGGGAGCCCCGCCGCGCACCCTCCAGCCCCAGCCAGCACCTTGGCCTGGTAGGTCTGCTCCAGCTCCAGCTTGTACAGCCGCACTTGCTCGTCGTGCTGGCTGCGCAGCTCCTCCAGCGCCTGAGCCATCCTGAAGTCGTACTCCTGCTGCCGGCTGCTGTCCACCTCCACCAGGCGCCGCTCGTGCCGCCGCCGGGTCTCCCGCACCTCCTGGGGCGCAGCATGGTCATCACTGCACTGCAGTGGGGCCCCGGCCCTGCCACTCACCTGCCTCCTGGTCACCAGTGTCATCAACCCAAGTGCCACGCCCAGGCCAGGGCTCAAAACTATGCAATGAACCGCTGGGGAACCTTCCCGGTTCTTGTTCACACAGTTCACGGCCACGAGTCAGTCACCAGAGTAGACGCGGCCCAGATGTCCCCCATGCACAGGAACGCTACTCAGCTGCGAAAAGGAATGAGGCGCCCACACGTGCCACCCGGGGAACAGACCCTGAGCCCAAGGCGCTCACGGAGGGACCCAGACACAGGAGGCCACGCAGTGTGTGAGTCCACGTGTGTGACACGTGCAGGACGGGCTCGTCCACGGACAGGAAGGGGACTTGGGTGTGGGTGGGAAGTTACAGCTGATGGGCATGGTGTCCTTTTAGGCTGATGGAACATTCTAGTTAGAGATGAAGGCTGCACAACTCTGAATGTACTAAGATCAACCACATTGTACACTTCAAAAGTTTTATGTGTAGGCATATTTTAATAAAGCTGTTGTTAAAAAAAAAAAAAAGCTGTTGTTAAAAGAATTCCTGATGAGGGATCCCTGGGTGGCACAGCAGTTTGGCGCCTGCCTTTGGCCCAGGGCGCGATCCTGGAGACCCGGGATCGAATCCCACGTCGGGCTCCCGGTGCATGGAGCCTGCTTCTCCCTCTGCCTGTGTCTCTGCCTCTCTCTCTTTCTCTCTCTCTCTCTCTGTAACTATCATAAATAAAAATAATAAAAAAAAAAAAAAAAGAATTCCTGATGAGTGGCACCCGGGTGGCTCATTCAGTTGGGTATCCAGTGGGTGGCTCTTGGTTTCGGCTCAGGTCACGATCTCAGTGTCATAGGATCAAGCCCTGAGCTGGGCTTTGTGCTCAGTGGGGAGTCTGCTTGAGATCTTCAACCTGCCCCGCCCACATGCACCTTCTCTCAAATAAATAAAATCTTAAAAAAAGAAAAAGAGGGGATCCCTGGGTGGTGCAGCAGTTTGGTGCCTGCCTTTGGCCCAGGGCACGATCCTAGAGACCCGGGATCGAGTCCCACGTCGGGCTCCCGGTGCATGGAGCCTGCTTCTCCCTCTGCCTGTGTCTCTGCCTCTCTCTCTCTCTGTGTGACTATCGTAAATAAATAAAAATTAAAAAAAGAAAAAGAGGGCAGCCCCGGTGGCTCAGGAGTTTAGCACCACCTTCAGCCCAGGATGTGATCCTGGAGACCTGGGATCGAAGCCCATGTCGGGTTCCCTGCATGGAGCCCGCTTCTCCCTCTGCCTGAGTCTCTGCCTCCCTCTCTCATTCTGTGTCTTCCATGAATAAATAAATAAAAATTTTAATTAAAAAGAAAAAAAAAAAAGAAAAAGAAGAAAAAGGAATTCCTACCAAGCCCATCTCAGGAACCTGGGATCCAAGACAGAGACCCGGCCCTCAGGACCAAGCCTGCGGGTCGCCATAGCCGCACTAAATAAACCAACGGCTGGGGCGCTAGACTTGGTAGGGTCAGGTGCACCCAGAGGGCACTGTTCACCAGCCCCGGGCTCCAAGGGAAGGGGGCTCCCTCCTCCAAGAAACTCACTCCAGCACAGAAAGCAGGCACTTATCACACTGTGCCATCAGTTTGCAAGAACAATAGGGCTGTTTCTCAAGGAAGCCAATCCTGTTTACAGAGAGGCCATGAAGCTCACGGAACCCAGAGCAGCACACCCACCCGCGCAGCGCCCCCTGCGTGGCTCCCCGCCAAGAGCTCCCAGCTGCCAGCCTCGGGGAGCCCCTCCAGGAGCCCCTGCAGGGTACCCTTCGGGCTCCCCTCACAGGTCTCCGCATAGCTCTCTTCCTCCGCCCCTTCCAGATCCCCTCCGAGGCCCCAGTTCTCTGGCGGAGGCTTTCAGGGCTTCCCTCCCGGGCTCTCCCCACCTCCCCTGGCAGCCCTGGCCTGGCTCTCACTGGGCCTGGCGGCAGCTGGAAGCCACTCCTCAGTTGTACGGGCATCCTTCCTGGCAGCAGCTCCCCGGGGGCACTGAGTGCATGCACCAGCTGGCCTGAGGTTCCATTTGGGGCCATGACAGGACAATGGGCTCTGTGATGATGAGCTAGGTGGCCGCCAAGCCACATCCCCTTCCAGAAGACAGAGAACCCCTCGTTCTGCCAGGAACGTCACTCAGGAATGCCATACCCAAGGGCCCGGGCCCAGGGATTAAGAGGCGGGGGTACGGGAGGGGGGGGACCCAAGAAGCAAAGGCAGCAGGTGTGCCCTCCCCTGGCCTTTCACAGAGAGGGTCTGCCCTGGGTTCAGGGGGGGGTGCCCCCAAACGTGTCCATGTCCTAATCCCCAGAACGTGGGGGTGTGACCTTATTTGGAAAAGGGGACTTTGGGGATCCCTGGGTGGCGCAGCGGTTTGGCGCCTGCCTTTGGCCCAGGGCGCGATCCTGGAGACCCGGGATCGAATCCCACGTTGGGCTCCCGGTGCATGGAGCCTGCTTCTCCCTCTGCCTGTGTCTCTGCCTCTCTCTCTCTCTGTATGACTATCGTAAATAAATGAATGAATGAATGAATGAATGAATGAATGAATGAATAATAAATAAATAAATAAATAAATAAATAAATAAATAAGGAAAAGGGGACTTTGCAGATGGGATTAATAAGAGTCTCACAATCAGATCGTCCTGGATGACCTGGGTGGGCCCTAACCCAAAGACAGGGCCCTCTTTGCGTCCTCTTAAGACACGAAGAGCAGAGAACGAGGAGAGGCTACGTGAAGGCAGCCCGGATGGAGGGATGCGGCGACCAGCCAGTGTCCCCGGAGGCTGGGAGAGGCGCGGGACCTCGGGAGGAAGCGCACCCCGCCTGCCAGAAAGTGGGAGGACACTGATGTGCCCACACAGGGAAGGCCCCCTGGCCCAGACTCACCTCCTCAAAGACGTTCTTCCGGAAGTCGAGCTCCTCTTGCAGGCTCTGGCAGCGGTTCTCCAGATCCACGCGCATCAGTGTCTCCTTCTCCAGCTGCTTTTTGGCCACGGCATGACCGTCCTCCGCCTGGGAGACACAGGCCAGCAAGCGAGGTGACGACCCTCGTCTGCCGCACCGTGTGGCTTCTGGAGGCCCAGGGATCCCCTCGGACATGCGCTCCAGCAGGGGGTGTCGGGGGGCTGGAGACCTGGCCCAGGCCGCTCCCCCCACAGGCCGCCTGCCACCTTAAACCTGCCTTGGCCAGCTGGGCGCGCAGCTCCGCCAGGTCGCTCTCCAGGACACGCTTGTCGCTGAGGGCGGCGGCCAGCTCCGCCTCACTCCGGTGAAAGAGGGACTCCAGATCCTTCACGCGGCCCTGGGCCACCGTGAGCTCGCCCTCCCTCTTCTTGGAGCTACAAGTCAGGAGCGGGGTCAGCAAGGGCGGCAAGTCTGGGGCTACGGGAGCCCCCCGGGCAGTGTCGGGGGCCCAGGGACAAGCTCCTCCAGCCTCTGGTGGGGGGCAGCTGCTGCAGGAGCCGACCTACCCTGGCTCTGGGGTAACGGAGCCCGGCCCGTCGGCCCAGAAGGTGCCCCTTCTTCAAGCCTGCTCTGTATCAGCTAACAAATACAAGCGCTCCGAAAAACCTCAAAGAAAGAGCTTGAATGTCAGGTTTTGGTGATTTGGGGACACAGGAGGTATCATTTATGGGAAAATGACTTTTTAAGAAATTAATGTATTGCGACCCCTGGGTGGCTTCAGTGGTTCAGCGTCTGCCTCGGGTTCAGGGCATGATCCCGGTTGTCCCGGGATCGAGTCCCCATTGGCCTCCCTGCATGAAGCCTGCTTCTCCCTCTGCCTGTGTCTCTGCCTCCCTCTGTGTCTCTCATGAATAAATAAAATATTTAAAAAAAAGAAATTAATGTGTAATTTATTAAAGCTGCATATTAAAATGTCAGCCTTTAAAAAGTCAATCTTATTTGCAACCTTGACGTATTTTAAGCAGGTTCCTCTGATATTCTGGTAGACGATGCCCCCAATATTAAAGACAGCAAATTGTTTTTTTCACAGCCAGCCACTACCAGCATGGGCCTGAGGCTCTCCAACACTTCTCAATGGAATTCTCAGTTTTCCTGGAGTTGAATGCAAGCCCAAGAAGGTGACAGCCATCCCCAGCAAGAGTGGGGGCCCCCAGGAGCTCCTCCCAGCACACCTCTCACGGGGGCACTATGGGGGCTGAGCAGCATCCACCCAGTGAGCGAGAACATGGGGGCCATGGCATCGGCTCACATGAGGTGGGGTGGTGTAGACCAGTGCCTTCAGCTCCCGAGCTGCCCGCGTCCTCAACAGCAGCCCTGGGAACACAGAGCTCCACTCGAACATTTTATCATCAGCCTCCACGAGGGTCTCGGGGTCCTGCCATCCCATTCCTGAGTTAAGCCACACAGTCCTGCCTCCCCCGCTCACGGGGGGCTTTGAACCCTAAGCCCCTAGAGCAGGTTTTGCAGGAGTTTGGGGAAACAAATCTTTATCTGTCAACCATTACCAAGAGCCCACTGTGTGGAGAAAGCCACCCTCATGCCAGAGATACATCTGGGAACACCCTAGCTCTCCCGATGCAGAACGTCTTCATGGGTGGCGGTGACAGTGAAACATGCCACTTGTCAGACACGAGTCTGCAACAGAAAGGCAGGGGAAGCAGGACAGGAGGGGAGGGAGGAGCATGAGCCGGGTGGGAACTGCACTGCTGCGCAAGCCCTGCCAGGGGTGGCCCCCAAAATAGATCTGAATGAGGGGAGCAGAAGAATGAGCCACATCCGTTATTTCCGGGAGAAAACTATTCGGGCAGAGGAAGCACAAGTGCAGAGGCCCTCAGGCAAGGTGTGCCCGGGAAGTCTGAGATCAGCAACAAAGCCTGCGTGCCAGGAACAGAGGCATCAGGTGATGGGGAAAACTTCTTTACTTTTCTTAAGTTTATTTAAATAATCTCTACACCCAACGTGGGGCTCAAACTCACCACCCCAGGATCAAGTATCACGTGCTCGTCCAACTGAGCCAGTCTAGTGCCTCAATGTGAAAATTTCTCAATTTTATCCAATATTCAGATTCTGCAGAGCTACACAGAATGGTCCAGAAAGCAGGGGCACTGGGGCCTCCCACTGGCTTACGTCTCACTGGCCACGTCTTACAAGCTTCAGGGCCTTAACACAAATTCCTCATTTGTCTAACAGTAAGTCCTAGAGGATTTGTCAGGCCCTCCACGCGGCTACCCACGTTCCTACCATCACAAGGACGGGATAAACTGGCTAGGGAAAGAACACCAGATCTCAACGGCCCCATCTCCGGCTCTGGAAGGGCTCCTGCACCCAGAACAGCAAGTGAGGCACCCGAGCGCCGGAGGGCGGAAGAGGCGTCCACAGGCCCAGTGAGGACAGGAAGCCTGCCTTGTGGGGCAGGGGCCACAAATCCCTGGATTGGCCATTCCTTTTGTCCCGCCTGCCACCTGCCAAGCCCAGCATCAGGCCAATCTGCTTGCAGGCTGAGTAAAGTGACTCTTGCGACAGTGGGCACAGCTGCCAGCCACAGACGCTGTCGCAGAACAATGGGAGCAGCTTAACACGGCCCCAGCAGCCCCGGGCATGGAACATCCCGGCAAGTCAGGACAGAATCCTGGCACAGAGGACACTTGATGGCTCAGGGAGGGACATTTTCAAGAGGCTCCTTGTGGCAAAAGCCCCCTGCAGTGGGGGCGTGCAGGGGAGAAAGTACGAGACCAGCCAGGATGGCTCCGTCTGGGTGAAAGCTGCTGCTGCCACAGACTTTTACTTTTTTCTTTTCTTTTCTTTTAAAGATTTTCTTTATTTATTCATGAGAGACACAGGCAGAGGGAAAAGCAGGCTCCATGCAGAAAGCCCAACGCGGGCCTTGATCTGGGGACTCCAGGATCACGCCCTGAGCTGAAGGCAGGCACTAAACTGCTGAGCCACTCAAGGATCCCCACTTTTACTTTTTCCTTTAAACTATTTTGCATTTTCTGCTTTCTTGACAGTGAACATCTGTGACTGATAAGCAGAAAAAAAAACAGGGCTTCTTAGCCCAGACAGGGAGCCAAACACAGGATCACAGGCATCTGGAGGGTTCTGGAATCTGTACTGATCCTAGAGAGAGTGGCTGGAGTCCCAGGCTCTGGAATTCACTAAATTTTCCCCAAAAAGCACAAATCATTTTTTAACTAAGAAACCTAAAAAAAAAAAAAGAGAGAGAGAGAGAAGAAAGAAAGAAACCTAATAAAATGAGGCACTGGGTGGCTCAGCAGTTAAGTGTCTACCTTCGGCTCAGGTCATAATCCCGGGGTCCCGGGACCAAGTCACATATTGGGTTCCCACAGGGAGGCTGCTTCTCCCTCTGCCTGTGTCTCTGTCTCGCTCTGTGCCTCTCACGAATATAAACAATCTTTAAAAAAAAAAAAAAGAAAAAAAACTAATAATTGATGAGATACACAGTCTACGTGGCTGTTTAACAGTGCAGATGGCCTTTGCTCCTTGGCCAAAGACCGGGTGCCTTGACTGTGTGGGTCTACCTCTGGACTTTCTGCTGTGTTCTCCACGGAAGAACCCAGGGGCACATCCCTGAGAGAAGCCCATCTGAGGCGGCTACACACCATGTGGTTCCAAGTCTAGGACGTTCTGGAAAAGGCAGAGCTGTGGAGGCGGTGAAAGGACCTGTGGTGGCCGGGAGTTTGGAGGGAGACAGGAACAGGTGGAGCAAGGGAACTGGCAGACACAGCGTCCTTATATACCTGCCCAAAGCCGCGGAAGGTACCGCCCACGGGAGTGAACCCTGACGTCAGCTCTGGCGCTGCCTTGTCTCTGACATTGCACACGTGCTAATGCGTGGTGTGTAAGGTGTTTACAGTAGGAAACTAGAGAAGAGATTTTAGAAACTTTGTTTCTACTCATCTTCCTATAAACTGCCTAACTACCACCCCCCAAACTCTATTTAAAATAAAATGGAGGGGGATCCCTGGGTGGCACAGCGGTTTGGTGCCTGCCTTTGGCCCAGGGCGCGATCCTGGAGACCCAGGATCGAATCCCACGTCGGGCTCCCGGTGCATGGAGCCTGCTTCTCCATCTGCCTGTGTCTCTGCCTCTCTCTCTCTCTCTCTGTGACTATCATAAATAAAAAAATAATAAAATGAAGTGAAGTGAAGTGAAATGAAATAAAATAAAATAAAAAAATAAATAAATAAAATAAAATATAAAATAAAATTAAATTAAAATAAAATAAAATAAAATAATTAAAATAAAATAAAATAAAATAAAATATAAAATGGACACACCCGGCAGCTCAGTGGTTGAGCGTCTGCCATCGGCTCAGGATGTGACCCCGGGGTCCTGGGACCGAGTCCCACATCGGGGTCTCTGCAGGGAGCCTGCTTCTCCCTCTGTCTGTGTCTCTGCCTTTCTGTTTCTCATGAATAAATAAATAAAATCTTTAAAAAAAAAAAGAGTAAGAAGGGAAAAAAACCCTCACAAATGTGAAGGCGACCCTGTTGACAGTTAGGACTGTGAGTGGGGGCTCTGAACCAGGACTCAGTCCTGGTCACTGCTAAGCTGAGGGACCCTGGACAAGCCTGGCCCCTGCCTCAGTTTACCCGAGTAGGGACAGTCCGGCCCTGATCACATCTGACCGCATGCCGTCCCGTACAGTGTCCTCTGTGAAGCACTTTGTTCAGGTACCATCCCCACCAGTGGCGCCGGGTCTCCACGCCATCCGCAGGCCTTTTACTCATAAGCAGACCCGAGGGAACATGCCTTAGAAGAGAAGAGGCCGGGCCCAAAGGCCGCCCACCCACCCGGCCCGGATCCACGCTCTGGGATTCCTGGGCGGGAGGGAAGCAGACCCCATTCCCCGGGCGGGGCTCCCGACAGGAGCCCTGGAGGCTGAGGGAGCGCGTCCAGGTCCCTGGGGCCCCGACACGGCGGGGGTGGGGTGCACACCAGTGGCTCCTGAATCCAGGGCCGAGGGGAGGCTGGGCCGTGTGGCCTGGGGCCTCCTCTCTGGGAGCGGCGGTCCAGCAGGAGCAGCTCCCCAAGACTGTTTCAGGACAGCTGCTCAGATTTCAAATCTGCCTGGGGCTGAATTACGTGGGGGGGGGGGGGGGACAAAGGTGGTGGGAAGGGGCACGTAGGAAGCCAGGCCACAGAGCACCCTCCAGGGGTGCGCACCCCCGGGGCCAGTCACAGGACCCTGCAGCAAGGGTGCCCAGGTGTGGGGAGGCCTGCCCTGGACACACCATGCCTCAGCGTCTGGGCGGCCAGTGCCGCTGCACACCTACCTCTTGTTCGCCTCCTCCAGCTCGGCCCTCAGTTTCCCCAGTTCGATCTGCAGCCGGGCCCGCTCCCGCGCCGTCTCATCTAGCACCCTGCGGGCATCAGCCAGCTCCGACTCGTACAGCGTCTTGATGCCGCTCACCTGAGGGAAGCAGCAGGCCCAGGTCAGGGAGAACCCCCTTCCCCACCAGCAGCAGGGGTCCCCGGGCTGGACACAGTCCCAGTGATGCGGGGACCTGCCCAGCCAGCCCCACCTGCCATGTCCCCTCATCCCCTGCCCCGGCCACCCACCAGCGGGCACACGGCTCATGCTTCTCGTGCCTTCTCGCCCCCAGCCTCCCCCCACCGTGCATAGGGCCGGGCGCAGGTGTTCACAGGTACCTGCAACCAAACCCGGACAGAGAGAGGCCCTCAACCCCACTAGGGCGGCTAGAGTCAAAGAGACAAAGGGGAACAAATATCAGCAACACAAAGAAATCCCACGGCCCATGGAAGCCAGCGGGGCAGGTCCCCTCCACCCTAGCGAGTCCACTGCCAGAACCTACCACCCGGGAGAAGTGACATGCGAATCCGCATGAACCCGTGTGCATGTTCACAGCACAGTTCACAGCAGCCAGAAGGTATAAACGACCCCAATGTCCGTCGGCGGACGAGCAGATACACACTGTGTTCCCCACGCACGAGCACATCCTTGGGCCGTGAGCAGGAGTGAGGTGCCCACGCGCCGCCCCAGGGATGGGCCCCGAGTCCCTGGCGCTCAGGGAGGGAACCAGACACAGGAGGCCCCGCAGGGTGTGAGTTCATGTGTGTGACACGTGCAGGACGGGCTCCTCCACGGACGGGGAGGGGACTCGTGGGGACCGGGTGGGGGGTGACTGCTGATGGGGGCCAGGCTCCTATGGGGGATACGGGAATGTTCTGGAGCTGGACAGAGGCGATGGCTGCACACCTCTGAACACGCTAAAGCCACCGACGCGCACAGCGGGATGCGAGAGCCGCAGGGGACGGGAACTCAGTTCAATAAAGCTGCGGGCGGAGGCCCAGCCGAGGCGCTCCCGGGCCGCAACGAGCGCTGCAGCGTCTCCCACGAAGCTACAGGATACCAGCGGGTGTCGCGCTGGGGGTGCACGGCGGCTGGGACCCCTCCTTCCACGGGAAAGGCCCCTGAGCAGAGGGGGCCGGGGAGCTGCCAAGGACCTGCCACGTGGGGTGACCACCATCGCGCCTGCAGGGACCGAGGAGCTTCCCGGACCTGGGACTTCAGAAGAGCTGGGGCTCTAACAGCCCGTCTGAGACCCGCCTTCCACATGCGACCCCCCCACCCCCCCACCCCGCGCATCCTGGGCCTCAGTCCAGCAGCTCCCAGTCACTTCATCCCATAGGTAAGGCGGGACACGGGCTCCTGGGCCCCATCTCACAGATGGGGAAACGGAGGCACAGAACAGTAAACTGGCCTCTCCTGACCCGTCGCTGCAGGGCAGAGCAGGCCCACTGGGGGCAATTCCAAGAGGATGACACATGCTGGTGGAGCAGAGACGAAGGTTCTCCCTCCTGCACCCTGGCCACCACCGCCCACCGCGACGGCAGGGGCCTCGCTCCCGCAGAGCCGGTCACTGTGGCCACGCCCGATGTTTCCAACGCTGGGAACTGGACTCCGGAATCGACCTTAGGTCACAAAGTGGCCACTCCTGTCTCCAGAGGTAGCTGGGCACCCATGTTTACGCGCCCAGCTCTGTGTCCTGCCATCCTACCTTCCAGAACTCTCCTAAGCCGGGGGGGGGGGGGGCAAGATCCCCTCCCCCACCCCAGACTGGGGTCCTTTCTCACACACCCCCACATCAGGTGGGGGTCCCGGGATGACCAGGAACCAACACAGCAGTCATAAAGGTGACCTAGTACTGAGCCGGCTTGGGGGCGGGGCAGGAGAAGCGATCATGACACTGTATTTAGTTCTCGATACCGGGGCTCAGTATGGGGGCTCAGATGCCAGACTGGGGGGCTCAGTGGTTAAGCATCTGCCTTCGACTCAGGGTGTGACCCCGGGGTCCTGGGATTAGTCCCACATCGGGCTCCCCGCAGGGAGCCTGCTTCTCCCTCTGCCTGTATCTCTGCCTCTGTTTCTCTCATGAATAAATAAATAAAACCTTAAAAAAAATAAGTTCTCCATACTTCAGTCAGTGGAAGCTTTGCACTAATTTTAATTTTTTTTTAAGTAAACTCTACCCCCAGTGTGGGGCCTGAACTCACAACTCCAACATCAGGAGTCACATGCTCGGGATCCCTGGGTGGCGCAGCGGTTTGGCGCCTGCCTTTGGCCCAGGGCGCGATCCTGGAGACCCGGGATCGAATCCCACATCGGGCTCCCGGTGCATGGAGCCTGCTTCTCCCTCTGCCTGTGTCTCTGCCTCTCTCTCTCTCTCTGTGACTATCATAAGTAAAAAAAAAAAAAAAAAAAAAAAAAAAAAAGAGTCACATGCTCCACTGACTGAGCCAGGGGGCATGCCAATAATTTTAATTTTTTAAACATTCCAGTAAAACGTTAGTTGTCCCACTGCCCCAGCCCGACGCCAAGGAAACACCAGGTGGACCCCAGCAGAAGGACATCCTACAAATTCCTGACCAGTGCTCCTCACGACTGCCCAGGGCGTCCACACCAGGGGAGCCTCAGAAGTGGTCTCCACCCCAACAGGCCCAAGGAGATGTGACACCTGATCGCCCCGTGGGGTCCCCAGGGCTCCTGGGACAGAGAAGTGAGGGGAAACTGAGGACTCCCAAATGAAGTACGGGTGTTAGCCAATGACGTTGATATGACGTCAGTACTGGTAAAATCACTGTGATAAACGCTGATGGGGGGACAGGGGGGGCATTACTGGGGGAACCGGGTTGGGGTACACAGAAACCCGGACTACCTTTCGCCATTTTTCTGTAAATCTAAAACTGGCCTCAAAATAAAGATTGAGGACATAAAAATACACCGTATCGCCTGCCTCCACGACTGAGATGTTTGGCACCCCCCGATTCCCTCGTCCCAACCCCGCACCAAGGCCACACTCTCGCTGCCACCTCCAGCGTCTTGTTTGAAGTACCGTGTTCTGGGGTGCCCGGCGGGCTCCGTCGGGGGAGCGCGCAACCCTTGATCTCAAGGTGGGAGTTCAAGCCCCGCAGTTGTCGGATCACTTAAAGCACCAAGTTCTCGCAGTGGCTCACTCGCTTATCGAGGCCGGTGGAGCCAGGCCCTCGGGCCACATTCCATCCCACCCGCTGTGTTGTCCCGCCTGCAAACCCAGAACCGTCTGTACACCTTTAAGTGGCTGGGGGCTGGGGGCGGGGAGAAATCCTGCGACACAGGTGAACTGCAGGAATTCAGGTCTCAGAGCGTATAAATAAGGTTTTCTTGGCGCGCAGCCCGGCCGTCCCCCTGCACGTCCCCCCCCCCCCGCGCGGGGTGCGGGCGGCCTCCCACAGTAACCCCCGGGCTGAGGGGCCGTGACCACACCTCCGGGCCTTGGAGCCGAAAATGCTGACTTTGGCCTCTTCAGAAAACATTTGCCAACCCCGCTGCAGCCCTGGGACAATTCAGAACATTCTTGCAGAGCACAAGCTCCCAGCCTCTTTCAGGCCACTAACAGGTGTGCTCGGGGCAGGCCCCCGCCTCCCGGCACCTGTGACCCGCGGCTTGGGCCTTTTGTCTTTTATGGCATCTGCAAGCGCCAAGAGTGAACAAATGTGTCAGCATGTGTTGGCCGGGGAGGGGTAGCATGGGGGGAAGTCCAGATAACCCGAGGTGACCCGTGCCTGTTCCTGTGTCTCTGGGGCACAAAGTCTTCCCGGCTGGGAACCACAGCTCTGCAGGCAACCCCCAAACACAGGCCACCCCCAGTGCTGCTACT